CAGCTAACAAAGATGGTATTGTTAACTGTCAGTCTAGATTAAAAACTCAAAATTGCTTTAACATAGTTTTTCCTCTCTGTCACAAAGAGCACATTTCCTTCTTGTGTTCCTTCTCAAGATCAACAATTCTCTTTACCACTCAGGGGAGTGGTCTGGATCAAGTTTCAGGTCTCAGAAAAGCCTTTGTGTGCCTGAGACAATTCTTGGCCTAAGGATCTTGATAGTACATTAAACCACCCACAGGGTGGCAGGGCCGAGCCAACTGGGTTCCTGAATTGTGTAAGAAAGAATTTCTTAGAAAAGGGGAAGTTGGGTTAAAGCACAAGATGTCCCATCTCTCTCATGTTATAAACATCAACTCAATCCAGTTTTCTCCTCAAAGAAAAACAAACCTCTCACCGCCTAACCCCCCTTGCTCTGATACATACTCTGGCAGTAGCTTTAAGAACTGGTTATATGTTATAGCAGAACAGAAGGAAATGAGGCTGAGATTTAAAATCTAACATTGATAAGAAACAAAACTAGGTTCTGAATTATGTCATGTTCTACTCCAGAGTCATACCCTCATCTATCGATTCGATTTATATTTAATAATTTATTTACTCTGTGAAATAAACTCTAATTGGAGCTAGGACGGATACAAAGATAAAAAAGAACATAGTGGGCCAGCAAGTAACATAGTGGGCCAGCAGGTGGCATGGTGTTTTTTTTTTTTTGGAGAGGTTTTTGCTACAGGGCACGTGCGCTCCCCAGAAAGCCAGAGAGACAGAGACATAGAAAGTGAGAAATCACCCCCCAGGGGGGATGGCCATGACACAATCCCTTCTCCTCCATTCTCCTCTTGGGATCTGAGTTTAAGCTGCTGGGTCCAGGAATTGAACCGCAGTCGACTACGTGGGAGTCCAGTGACATAGCCATTACGCTAACTGCTGGTCCTGAGGTGGCATGGTGGTTAAGGTGCTGGATTCCCACATGGCCAACCATGGTTTGAGTCCCAGACCTGGTGCCTTGCTTTCTTCCTCTCCCTTTCTCTCTCTGTCTCTCTCTGGTCAAATTAAAAAATAATAACAAATGGACTTAAATAAATAAATGATTTTTAAAAGAAATAAACAGATGTAAAAATTTTTTTAAAAGAGGCATAGTTGCTGCTTTCTAGGAATTCATTATCTAGGAGAGAAAAGGCTATTAATGCACAAGTGCGGTATGAGCAGTATCAACAATGTGCTATAGAATATTCAAAAGAGAATGAAATCATATTTGATTATTCAGTGAGAGACAAGGGAATTGGAAATCAAGGTTTCATAGAAGAAAAGTCACTTAGCCATCTACAGAAAAGTGAGTAGTATTTCAAAGAGCAGTGATGGGGAAGGAAGGACAGCCATTCTGGGTAAAGAGAAAAGCATGAGCAAAGACATGAAAACACGAAAGGCAGAGGAGGATACATTAGGGGAACACTGAGTACTTGGGTTTGGCTGAGGTATAGGGTACTTATGTAAGGAAGCAGCGGGAAATGAGAGTGGAAGTCTTTTCTTCATTCACGGTAGAGCGTGTGTGCACACGTGAGCGAGAGCAAGAAGCGCTTTCCACATGGTCTGGTCACATCACAATCCTCTTCCTCCAGTCTGTGCACCGGTCTGGTGTGTGCCTCAGGCTGATCAGGTTGAGGAATAAAACAGTATTTGTTTTTTGTTTTTTTGCTTTTTTTTTAAATACAATCACCATTGTGTATGTGGCCTGTTGTTGACAGAAAAAGCATTGTGTGATACATGACTGTGTATAGAAGTTTGTCCAACATGCTGTGGGAATACAAAGATGGCAGTTAAATCTATTCACAGAAATCAGAGGAAGCATTACAAAGGAGATGCCTTTTTTTTCCAAGAATCAGAAATGTATTAGTGAAAGATTTTTTAAAATTATTTATTTAATTTTACCCATTTATTATTATTATTATTCAATTTGACCAGAGAGGGAAAGTGAGAAAGCAAGCCAATAGGTCCAGGATTAGAACCATGGTCAGCCATGTAGGAGTCCAGTACCTTAACCATCATGCCACCTACTGGTCCCACTAGTATAAAGATCTTTGAACCATAAGTCAGAAAGACACAGAGAGAGAAAGTAAGAAAGCATCTCCTAGGGGAGATGGCCACTCCACAATCCCTTCTCCTTTCTGGATGTTGGGCATACATGCACATGTACTTGGCAGGCTTTCCAAGCCTCTGGGTCCGAGACTTGAACCTTGCAGTTGGCCATGTGGGATCCAGCCATCTTAACCACCAAGCCACCAGCTGGCCTGAACAGCATTTTTTTAAAGACAGGGGCCTCACTGGGTTGAGATCCTCCTGCCTCAGCATCCTGAGTAAGTGGGACCATAGGTACATACCACAACACCTAGCTCTTTCAGACAGGTTCTCACTATGTTGCCCAGACCTGCCTTGAACTTGTGGTCCTCCTGCCTCAGCCTTTCTGAGTTGCTAGAGTTACAGGTGACACTACTATAGTTAGCTTTTTAGGTTGGACCAGGAATTGAACCTGGACTTCCCTGTGACCCCAATCTGTGGAACATAGTGCCTTATCAGTCTGTGCTGCTGCAGCTAGGCCATGGGGCCATTTTATGAGTACTTTAAATACCAGGTTGAGGCATTTGAGTGTGATTCAGTAAACAAGAGATGTTGGAACATCACAGAAACAGGCAGGATTTCATTTTGTTAGATTCATCCAGACATGGCCAGGAAGATCAGTTGAACACTATTAAAATAATTCAGGCAAAATAATTCAGTAGTAGCAGTAGAATGAGAAACGGGAGACAGATTTTAAGACACTGGAAAGATGGCCTGCAGAGAATTTGACAGCTGACTGGATGGGAATGATGAAGAAGGACTCAAAGCTGATTCCCAGGGGTTGGCAGGTGGTATAGTGATTGAGGTGCTGGATGCCCACGTGGCCAGTCGTGGTCTGAGTCCTTGATGTGGCAGCTTGGTTTCTGATTTTCCTCTCTCTGGTCAAAATTAATCAATTAATTAATCAATTTAATTAAACAGAAGTAATTCTTTTTTTAAAAAAATAAATGATGGGAACTGGCAGTTAGTGTAATGGCTATGTCACTGGACTCCCACGTGGTCGACCGCGGTTCGCGTTCCGGACCCGGTGGCTTAAAACTCATGCCGGGCGCGTGTGCGTGCGGGCCTAGGATCCCGAGAGGAGAATGGAGGAGAAGGGATTGCGGCGTGACCATCCCCCCTGGGGGGTGATTTCTCGCTTTCAGTCTGTCTGTCTCTCTCTGGTGAGCGCATGCACCCTATAGCAAAAACCTCTCAAAAAAGAAGGAAAAAAAAAAAGAAATGATTCCTCAGGATCAGTGTAATGGTTACGAGACTGGACTCCCATGTAGTCAACCGTATTTCAAGCCCCAGACCTAGTGGTTTAAAACTCATGCCAGGCATTGGGGCCAGCAGGTGGTATAGTTAAGGTTCTAGACACTCCCACATAACTGACCACAGTTCAAGTCCCAGACCTGGTGGCTTGATTTCTCACTTTCCTTCTCTCTCTGTGGTCAAATTAAAATAAATTAATAAAATTAAATAAATAAATAAATATATATATATATATATTTTTAATTACAGAAGAGAACATTTGGACTGTAATCTTGGGATCTTGGGCATGCACGCACATGCGCCCAGTGTGAGTTTAAGCTGCCGGGTCTGGGACTTGAACCACAGTCCACTACATGGGAGTCCAGTGACATAGCCATTACGCTAACTGCTGGTCCCAAATAAATTATTTTTTAAAAAGAAACAAAAACTCATACCAGGTGCGTGTGCGTGCATGCCCAAGATACTGAGAGGAGAATGGAGGATAAGGGATTACGGTGTGACCACCCTCCCTGGGAGGTGATTTCTCACTTTCTGTCTCTATGCCTCTCTGGAGGGTGCATACGCCCTATAGCAAAAAAATCTCTCTCTCTCTCTAAAAAAAAAGAAAAGATGATTCTGGATTTTAAACCTTGATATAACTATTGTATAACAGTACTAGTAAAAGAAACAGAGAAGAAATGGGTTTGAGCACTAGAGAAGATTATTAATTCATTAATGTACAAGCTAAATTTGAGATGCCAGCTAGAACTTTGGAGACAAACTAAAGGTATAGTATAGATTTTAGTCAGTTACACAGAGTGGGTATACATGAGCAAACAGAGGAGCAGAACTTAAAGAAAAAAAGAGGGACAGTGACAAGTCCTTGAGAAAAACTTTAAGGGGATAGAGAAAAAAAGAAGTGCTAGCAAAGGAGAAAGAGATAAAGTACAAAAGTCAAGATGAGTGTTTACATTTTTAAAAACTTTTTTTTTTTGGGGGGGGGAGAAACCAGCAGTTGGCATAATGGCTATGTTGCTGAACTCCCATGTAGTAGACCACAGTTCGCGTCCCGGACCCGGTGGCTTAAATTCACGCCAGGCACGTGTGCGTGCGTGCCCAAGATCCCGCGAGGAGAATGGAGGAGAAGGGATTGCGGCGTGGCCATCCCCCCCCGGGGGGTGATTTCTCGCTTTCTGTCTCTCTGTCTCTCTCTCTCTCTCTGTCTGGCGAGCGCACGCGCCCTATAGCAAAATCCTCTCTGCATAAGTAGCAGAAGCCAGGTTACAAAAGGACAAGTTTAGTCAAGAGAGAAATCTTGTGTACAATAGATTATTCTCATAAGAAATTTGACAGAAGCCAGCAGGTGGCATGGAGGATAAGGTAGCTGGATCCCATGAGGCTGTCCGCGCAGTTCTAAAAACACACCGTGCCTACAGCCATACCACCCTAAACACACCTGATCTCGTCTGAAAAACACACCAGGCAGTATGTCCAAAATTCTGAGATAAGAATGGAGAAGAGATTGTAGTGCCACCATCTCCCCTGGGGGGTGCTTTCCCACCACCCTCACTCCCACCTCCTGTTGAGTGTATGAGTGTATGTGCCTATAACTCTTTTCTTTTCTTTTTTTTTTTTACAAAGAAGACATACCTTAAATGAGCCTGCAATATTTCTGAACAAGCAGATCCAGTCCCTTCTCTTCATCTTGCCATGAAGTTGGGCAACACACAGATCTCCATTCTCTCCTTAGTACAGTAGAAAAATAGACATCAGTAAACATGAAATGCGGGCTTCCAGATAAGGTATCTTACCCCCTTTATTCACGATAGAATACATGCACGCATGTGTGAGAGGGAGTGACAATGAGAACAGACAAGCATCTTCCACAGGGTCTCATCAAGCCACAATCTCCTTCCTCCGATCACCCAGCACATCAAATCCTGGCCACTCACGTGTGTGCCTGGCATGTTTCAGGCTGCCCACTCAGGAAATTCGAACCACGGCTGCTATGTGGGATCTGGTTTCTCCTGAGCAGTGCAATGCAGAGCCAGCCTGAGGTATGTTTTTTGTTTTTAGGTTTTTGCCACAGGGTGTGTGCACTCACTCTCTAGAGAGAGAGGGAAAGTGAGAAATCAGCCTCCAGGGTGATAGCCACATCACTATCACCTCTCCTTCTTTCTCCTCTCGGATTTTTGGTGCACGAGCACATGCAACTGGCGTGATTTTTCAAGGTGCTGGTTCCAGGACTCAAACTGTGGTAAACCATGAGGTCCAGTGCTTTAACCACACCACAGGTTGGCCCTGAGATATGTTTTTTTTTAAAGATTAATTTTAATATTATAATTATTATTAGTTTTAATCCCCTATAGGGCACATGTGTTCACCAGAGAAAGACAAAGAGAGAGGGAGTGAAAGTGAGAAAGCAACCTCCAGTTCTAGGATTGAACCACAGCCAGCCATGTGGGAATCCAGCACCTTAACCATCACACAACCCGCTGGTCCCAGACATAATTTTTTTAAAAAGAATTACTTGGGGCCAGTAGGTGGTGTAAAAGAGATTGCAGCATGGCCATCTCGTTGGGTGATTTCTCACTCTCTTTCTCTCTGGAGAACAAATATGCCCTATAGCAAAAAATCTCTCTCTAAAAAAGAAAAAAATGGGGGCCAGCAGGTGGTATAATGGTTACAACACTGGACTCTCACTGAACTCTGGGACCACGGTTTGAGTCCTGGACCCAGAGGCTTAAAACTCACACTAGATGAATAGGTGTGCGTGACCAAGAGTCCAAGAGGAGAATGGAGGAGAAGGGATTGCAGTATAGCCATCCCTCCCAGGGGTTATTTCTCGTTTTCTGTCTCTCTTTGTCTCTCTGGGGAGCGTATGTGTTCTATAGCAAAAATCTCTAAAAATAAAATTTAATTAATCCATTTGTTGTTGTTGTTGTTGTTGAATTTAACCAGACAAACACAGAGAGAAAGGAAAAGTGGAAGAGCAAGGAGCAAGTCGCCAGGTCCAGAACTCAAACTGTGGTCAGCCATACAAGAATCCAGCACCAAGGACCAGCAGTTGGAGTAATGGCTATGTTGCTGGACTCCCACGTAGTCGACCACAGTTTGAGTCCCAGACTCAGTGTCTTAAACTCACGCCTGGCGTGTGTGCGTGCATACCCAAGATCCTGAGAGGAGAATGGAGAAGGGACTGCGGCGTGGCTATCTCCCCTGGGGGGTGATTTCTCGCTTTCTATCTCTCTGTCTCTCTCTTTCTGGCAAGCACAGTGGCCCTATATCAAAAAACTCTAAGAAAAAGAATCTAGTACCTTTAACCACCACACCTGCCAGCCCCTTGTTATGTTTTTTTAAGAGAGAATTTTTTTAAAGAATTATTTTATTTAACTTTATTTATTTTTATTTTATCGGGGTATGGGGGGGAGAGAATGAGAAAATGAGAAAGCAGGCTGTCAGGTCTGGGACTCAAACTGCAGTCAACCATGATAGGAGTCCAGCATTCTTAGCCACCACACCACCTGCCAATCCCTTTAAGAGAGAATTTTGCTATAGGATGCATGCACTAATTGGAGAGACAAAGAGAGAGAGAGAGAAATCACCCCCTAGGCAGGATGGCCATGCCACAATCCCTTCTCCTCTATTCTCTTCTTGGGATCTTGGGCACGTGCACATGTGACCAGCATGAGTTTTAAGCCACTGGATCCAGAACTCAAACCACAGTCGACTACATGAAAGTCCAGCAATGTAACCATT